TTATTACCACTGGCTGATGGACCATGTCTGCAATGGGAAGAATTCTTACATCTGCATTGTCCCAGTCCTACAAACACCCACCACCAGCCACCATGAATGTGGGGAACTTTCAGTTTTATCTCCTATTAATCCATTTACATTTAAATAGCCCGTGTGTACCTTGTAGCTACTGTCTTCGACACTGCAGATGTGTGGATCATCTCTTCAACCAGACAGAACTAGTGACTTCAGGAAAGGCAATGCTCTAGTTTTTCTACCATGAGATCCCAACTCTGAAGAAATATTGTGACTCCATTGTCTTGAAGGGTGTTTGTTTGTTTGTTTGCTTGTTTGATGTGGAAAGATGTATTTTTAATTACCTCTCTGTGTATAGATGTGTGAACATGGGTGCTGGTACCTACAGAGTTTAGAAGAAGGTATCAGATCCCCAGAAGCTGGAAGTACAGGTGATTGTGAGCCACCCAGCATGACTAGAAACCAAATTCTGAAAGAGCAGCAAGCACTCTTAACTGTTGAACCATCTTTCCAGCCCCTTGGTTTGTTTTTGGTTGGTTGGTTGGTTTGGGTTTTTTGTTGTTTAATGAGAAGATCTATTGCTCTCTTCATTCTGACTAAACGTCACACTAACATGTCCCCTGCAGAGAAAAAAAACCTGTATGGAAATTTCCCTAGAAAACAGTTATCTAAGAGCAAGAGCCCTGATCACTCTGATGAGGGATTCTGCCCTCCCTCCTGTCTTCTGTCACCCAGACATAGACATTGCAGATGCTTTGTATGGGAGAGATTGTAAGACTATAAAACTGTAGCACAATCATTACTGATTATGTGCTCAATAGATCTTTTTTCCCTACCTGTTTCCAAAATCAAGGGGCAGAGCATTGTGCCCCCAAGGAATGGGGGGGAGTGAAGGACCTGCTGTTCAAGTATGAGGAACTGAGCTTGCATCCCCAGCATCCTTTGTAAATCAGAGCTGGCCTCATGATGGGTGGGCTTGGAGATGGGAGGATCACTGAGGCTTGGGGGCCAGCCAGCCTGGCATTTCATACAAATTCCAGGCTATAAGTAATTTTTGAATTCAGAGTTGTGTTTTTGGTTTCCTTGTGGTGATGACAGGCTCCTGTGTCAGCTTGGTTTTTTATGCTGCCTGTGTCAAGAAAGCAAATCTCCAGAGGGCCAAGTAAAAAGCAAGGCACGTCAATGTCTAAAGAATTTCCATCTTTATTTTACAGTTTTTCCGTACACATCTCATGCCAGCACACAGGAGGCATATACAAACAAACCCACGGTCTCTGCTCGCCAGAGTTACATGGCAATAAATAAGAGGGGAGACTTTTTTTTTTTCTTTTTCCAGGAAAATGCAACTTTGTTTCTTTTTAACTATACAAAATTTACACCGGTGAAGGATGGGGCCAAGAACCCAAAGCCTAGGAGATTTGGGGCTTTGAGGTCTGAGTGTGAGCTCAGAGGGGCATCTGGAGTCCTGCGGCCCTGACTCTCCTTGTTAGGCAGAATACAGTCCTCACACGGGAAAGTCCGGTGTGATCCCTGCCTGTAGGCGGCTGCAGTGGGAGTGGAGGTGGCCTTGCTCTGTCCGCCTGTGCTCTGCCTCACTAAGCAAAGGAACGCTTGGCGCCCCTCCCAAACCTGCAGCCTCCTCACCAGAGCTAGCAGCAGGAATCTGTGCTTTTAGTGTGGTCCTACCAAGCAGAGTGGGGGTGGGATGGCTTTGCTGAACTCTCTCTTTTTGGCTCCAGTCACTGTTAGAGCAGTTGGAGCAACTACTGTTAAAAAAAAGGGGGAGTGGGGGTGAGGGTGGGGAGGGTACCAACACTTGACCAATCCAAGAAAGAGAGAGCCAGTGATGTGCTTTTATTTAGCTTTCAGCATGCCCAGAGCCCTTCAGCAGCAGGCAATAAAACAAAACTCATTTCCGCTTAATTGAATTTTTCTTCATCTCACCGTTTCCAATTTTTAAAGTGCACCGCTTAAAAATGAGTCTCCAGACCCTGCTGGCTGAGAGGAGGTGTGGTCGTCATCCCCATGGTTAGGGCTAAGGTGTCAGTGATAAGGTGTGGGAGGGGCTCTGTGAGGATGCAAGATGATGGGCTGTTGTACAACACACAGTTCAGAAGCCTTGAACCCTTCCTGCCTAGGATCCCCTCGGTCACCAGCTGGGAGCTTCACATGTGGGGTTGGCTTTTGTTCTACAGATTATATTTTTTTACACGTCCTTAATGAAACGCTAACAGCCCTCAATTATCTTACTAGGTTTTATGTTTTATGACACAGATAACCTTCCAGGCCACTGCCCAGTGCTTTTCCTAGGTCCTAATTTTGTTCTTTCTCTGTGGTTTCACTTTATTAATTTGGGGGAACAATTTTCTCAATATGGTCGCTAGTGTTCCCCTTACACTGTAGCTAGTTTAAGAGGTAGACCAGGGTTCTGTCAGGAGAGAAATGTGCCTACATCCACAGTCTCTCGCCAAGAGGTTCAGCTAGCTGGCCAGCAACCCTTGAGTTTGATGTTTCTACCATGGCTTTATCACTTTCCCACAAATAGAATCACTCTGTTCCCATCCTTGCCACTGGAACAGGGTGTCTGTTTGTTGTTGTTTTAACTTAATTTTTAAATTTGCTCCAGGATTCAAAAGTCTACTGGACATGCTCTAACATAGCTGTCGATTAACTGTCCTCTTAGAGGCAAAGCTGGACCCAAATACGGTAAGTGCCTCTGTAAGTTTATGCTTCTGCCGAGTAGTGGAGGTACACACCTCTAATCCCAGCACTCAGGAGGCAGGTGAATCTCTGTGAGTTCAAGTGCAGCTTGGAACAAGAGCTAATTCGAGGACAGGCTACAAAAGCTACACATAGAAACCCTGTCTTGGGGGGAGGGGAACAGTTTACGCTTCATGTTTTGAAATCACCTTTGTCCCTGGACAAGGAGGGAAAGAGCTACCAGAGAGTACTGGCATCATAGTGTAGGCTTCTCACGAGGAAGCATCCAGTTCTCCATCTTGAACCATTGGCAAGTCAAAGAACAGTCTTGGCATGCAGTGCCCATTGGGACACCAGCCCAGCCGCAACAGAACTTGCAGGAAGATTCACTAAAAACTGAGTCCCTTGTGGCTGTGCTTCTAAATGGGCCCTCAGGGTTTGCTGCCCTCTAGAGAGCTGGCTCTGGACGGAACTTAAAGCAAGGCTGTGAGCCTCCTACCCAGTGTTCTCCTATGAGCCCTTCCAGCTCAGTGTACCCCCCCCCAAAAAAAAACAGCCACCCAAGAAGCTTCTGTCAACATCACTACAATGTCCACCATCTTCTTCAAGACACTCACTATTAGTGTGAGTGAGAACAGCCCTCTGCTCTCCCACTACTGAGTTGAGAGTAACTCGTTCTCAAAACCAAAACCCAATTAACTAGTCCATCATCAATAGTGCTATTTAGGATGTCCAAAATACAAACCCATGAGACACTAACCAGTAGTCAAGCTGAGGTGGTGGCTTAGCTGGGGCAGCTAGATTGGCCAGCTTGGCTTTGTGTGTTATGGGCAGTCTGCTGAGGATGGGGTGTTTAAGAAGCGGGTCTTCACATCCATGCTTGCCGTTTCTTTCACATGGCATATTATCTTGAATCTGTGTCTCCATTGTTACCCCAGCACTCACATTGTTTGGGTTAGCACTAAATAGTGACTGCCATCACCACCAGTAGACATAAGATCTCAAGAAAGCAGTCTGTTTGCACTCTCCAAAGCAAAGCCAGGCCAGCTACAGCCCACCGAAGTATTTCTACAGAACTGAGAGGAGAGGACTGACTGTTTTCTTTAAGGAAACTTAATTGAACTTATTTTTGAAAGAGGCTTGCAAAGAAGCCAGCAGCCAAAGAGGAAATGTGTCCCTTCATTACATCTCCCCACCACATACCTGAATCCTCAAATATGACTGACAGAAATGAGGGCCCTTGGGCCTTTGGTCTCATCACTTCATGTAAAAGAAAGATAATGCCTGCTCATCTTTTCCTACCCCTCAGGTCTTGTTTAAAGGAATATGAGGCCAGAAGAGATGAACCAGCTTCTTGAGGGGGTGGAAATAAATTCCATCTAGCTAACTTCCCATTTTGAACATGGAACACGTCCCTGATGGCCAGAAGTGGACCATGGCAGTGCAGTTGCCACCAGCCACAGAGGAGCAGCCTCTCTCAGATGACAGATTGAGAAGCAGGCTGACCTCACTCCTATTGCAGGAGGCAGAGAATCCCTACACTGTGGCTTGAAGGGAACTGGGACTTTCTGGGTGCAGGACTGAAGCCTGCAGCATGGCACAAGTCCAGCCAGCAACCCAGAGAGAGCCCAGCTATTTTTCAAACCAAAAAAAAAAAAAAAAAAAAAAGCATGGCTGGTCCCTGTCTTCCAACTGAATCAGCTAGTAAGGCAGAGGAAGCTTTCATTTTAAGAGAGTAGAATAGCCTTGCTAAGTCATCAAAAACAAACCTCTCAGAGTACAGTGGATGCTCCAGATTTCATTCCACCCTGTCACGAGGCCAGAGACTAGCATCCGACAGTGGCTAAACAGACTGCATGTTTGGAGTCCAAATGTGTACAAATGTTTTCACTGATTGTCATTCTGGTCTCTGCATGGTTTAGCTCTGATCATTTTGCAGCCCTCAGCCTGTCTTGGGGAGGAAATGATATAAGCCAATTAAAAGGCACTCTGCACCAAGGGGACTCATGGACTGTGTGTGAAGATCCAGAGTCACTCGGCTCTATCTCAGGGCCACTTGCAGTGGAAGCCACTGCTTGCCATCAGGGGTTCAGCAACACAGGTGGGATTTTTAAAAACCCAGACTCACTCTGTGTCACACTTGCAGGTAGGAAAAGGTCATATTTTCACCGCAACAAACAGGATGGGGGGGTGATGTTTTGTTTGTTTGTTTTTATATAGTGAACTCTGGCCATCGGTGTTTTCTAACTAGCCTTTAATAACTGAGTTTATTTTGAAAATGAGGGTGTAATCAAGGTGGTCCAGAAACCATTTTATTATTCTCAAGGGCCACGGTGCCCTCTCCCTCGGGAATCCTGGTTCTGGTGAATGTGGTGATTTAGGAGGCAAAGGGTGAGATGTACAGGCTGGGCAGAGTTCCCAAAGGCAAGGTGGCCTGTCACAGTCACCTTGTGCTGTCAAAGCACTGAGCAGCCAAAGCCTTGAAGCAAGGTGAGAGGGGAGGGAGCCAACAAGCCAGCAGCCCTAGAGCTCTAGGCTGTCCACCCCTGTGCTGTGGTTGAGATGAGGTTGCTCTCCTGTCATCTCCCAAGAAAGCAGTGTCCTAGTGTGGTCTCAGCCTTCTAGGAACAGCGGAGGACTTCCATTGAAAATAATGGAAATTCACATTGGCGCAATTTGATCCTTAAGAGGCAAGTCTCTTTTGATCCTTGAAGATATTCTCTCAAGCCAGGAGGACAGATAAGGTGGGGAAGAAAGTCTAAAAAGGAGGATGGTCCATTTCATCGAGCCAGGAAGCTGGGCTAGTTGGAAAATCAGGGTAGCCTACACTGCTTCCTGTGGAGAGGTCAGAAGTGGGTCCCCCAGCCATGGCTCTCAGTGTCTGGCTTACTCCCTGCCCTGCATGTGCAATGATGCCCAGATTACTGTCCACTGTGTAATCCAGCCCACTGAGCAAAGGAGCATGGGATGGCAGGGACGATATGGAGGATGGAGACTGGGGGATTCCATAGGGGCTCCCATCCCTCAAGTCCTGATAGGATTGTCCTGTCCCATCCATGGAGAAGCTCCCATTCATTAACTGTCCGCCTGTAACGTCCCCCACGTTTCCATAAATCCTATTGGTGTGGCCAAGCTCTGAGAGAATTTGATCCTCTGTGGACAAAAGAATGGAGATATATTGTCAGCTGCCAGGACTCTGGTGGTCCCTGCTCTTCACAACCAGCAATATAATGACCAGGAAGGATGCTCACAGGCAGCAGCTGCCTCCCTGCCAAGCACAGGTCAGACACCAACATGTCAGCCTAGCATCCAAGGACCAACCCAGACCAAAGGGAAAACAAGGATTGCTTGTACCTAAGTCCCCCAGCTCCATGAGCTGGAAAGTGTCTGGTGGACTTCCTGGGCTAGAGTAGTTCTGAGATACCCTGGTTACATTGAGTAGTGTGAGCCAGTGCCTGGGTTTGGTGGGTCATACTGTCTGCATCACAAATGGAAACTGCTGATAGGGTTTACTCTGAAGGCTTTCAAACCAAGAAAAGTGCTTGTTCAGGCTGGGTGGGAAATAGGCCTATAAGATAAAGGTGCTGGAAACCACTCTTAGACCTGTATATAAAATCCCCATCCACCCAAAAACGTTAGTTCAGTATCAGAGAACTCAGTGTCTTTCTGTATCCAATAACCTACTTACTGAGGATAAAGAATGACTTGATTAAGGCAAATGGACCTTCTGGTTTCTTAAAGAATTTCATTAAGGGAATCTAATGAAATTTGCTGGAAGAATTTCTCTCTCTGATAGGGGTGAGCAGGTTTAGTCTTAAGAATTACAAGACTGTGTGTTACCCAGAGAGAACATGTTATACCCAGAGATCCACCTGCACCCCAGAGAAATGAGCCACAAAACAAGGTTCTGGGCTCCTGTGTGTTTCCAGTATAGATCTGAGCAGCTCAGATGAGAGAAACTAGTTTCCCCACCCTGCCAAGATGCCTGGGAAGTGGGCATGAACCTCCTTGGTCTCCTTGGGTCTAAGAAGGCTGAGTTTTGGCTTGGCAGACCCTTGGGCTGAGGTCAGAGATTTCGCAGCTTTGTGCTCATGGTAACTTGTTCCAGCGCCTTCCTTTTCCCTTACTACCTGGGCCTATGCACTGACTCCTACAGAAGGCCACTGTGACTAGACTCCTATGCCCTCTCTCTCTGATCCCCACATTCTTCTCATGACTATAAAAAAGAGGGAGCGTATGTCACTCAAAGGGAGCAGGGAGGTGAAGACTAGACTCTGCTTCACCTGGTACCTACTGTCCCCTATAACGGGCTCCTATGGGAACAACCAGGCCATCCATTCGTCCTCATACACAGAGGTCTATTTAGCTTTCCCCAAGCTCATCCACAGTTGGTTGTGTTCACTGATGCCCATGACAGCTCTGTGAGATGGATAAGGATGGGGCCCTCCCTACCTATAGACTGAGGCTCCAGAGAAATGGATGGCTTTGACAGAACTACCCTAGAAATCAGTTTCTAAGCCTCAGTTCCAGACCCTTCCCTTCCCTACCCATAAAAAGAAAAAGAAAAAAAAAAAAGGGATCATCTGTATTTGAGGGCTCAGTGAGCAAGAGCGGTCATGGTTATTTGCAAACAACCTGAGGATCCACTCATGCGGTAATTTGCAATTTTGCTGATGCACAGATTTGAATGTAGCGCATGCTGCAAAGCTGGTGTGCGGAGGACAGGATGGAGTGAGTGGTGGGGGGGAGGGGTTTCAGAACCGCAGCCAGTTCCCCATCATGCACTCACATTATTGATTTCCCAGGAAAAGGCCTGTTGAGCATGTCCTCCTGCCACCAGGATTGGAGGACCGGCTTACTCTAGGGGACCGTGGGAGGAGCTCAGTGTCCCTGCAAAGGGGAGAAGTGCAGGAGGGCTGGGGCAAAGACTGAGACAGGGCCACCCGATCACAACTGTGAGCACTGGTGAGGGCGCCGCCGGCAACAGGAACGTGGCGGCAGGCCTCTGGGCCAGGACAGGGGACCCCAGCCTCTGTACCTCAGCAACAGCTTTCTCTTGCTCTCTACTCCTCACCCCTTCGGGAAGGGCTACTAACACCCTTTACTGAAAGTCTAGGAAAACCCTGTGCCCAGGAGGATTGCATCAGAAAGATCCCTCCTGCTGGCAAGGACTCCTGTCCCCCAGGGCCTCGCCTAGGGCCTCAGCCTCACCCCTCCAGCCCTGCTCACCTTGGAAGCTCAGCTCACTGTCACTAACCCCACAGTCCTCTGCCGAGCTCTCCTTCCCCTGCTTGCTGCCTCCCCGGCTCCTCTTGACACTCTTGTAGAACTGCCCCCAGCGATGCCGCCCAGCGTCCTTCTTCAGCCGTTTCTCCTTGGCGCGTCTGTTCTGAAACCAAACCTGCCACAAAGCACAGGGAACACATTCAGGGACTACCTAAAGACCCCGCGTCCCCCGCCTCCCCAAACACCCAGGAGATACCTAAAGCCCCTGGATCCTCAAGCAAGTGGTTGGAAATGGACCAAAGCTCCCGTAGTGTACCAGAATGAACTGCAGGGTGCCCATTGTCTCCTCCTCAGCCAGAGCCTCTTGCCCCAACAGACTCAGTGCGACCCACCCACCAGATGACGTCACTCGCGTTCCCAAGCTTCCCTTACTTAGGTGGAGAGCACAGACCTGCCCTGGCCTGGATCACTCAGGGGCAAAGCAGTACAGCTGTCTCACCTGTACCACCCTCATGTCCAGGCCTGTCTCGGAGGAGAGTTGCTCCCTCACATGCCGGGCAGGCTTCGGAGAGTTCTTGTATGCGTTCTTTAGTGTTTCCAACTGCTTTGCTGTGATGGTGGTCCGCGGTCGCTTAGCCCCAGCCTCCGAGTCATCTACAACAAAGCCACCTTAATGCAATCAGCCTAGCTAAAGCTGCTGAGCCTCCTCAGCCACCTCCACCCCAGGCAACCTAGGGGCAGTGTCAGGGATGCTGATCCTGGTGAGCAGTCGTTCATTCATAAGACTCACCTTCCCAACTCCCCTCCCTGGTCAGTTTAGCCTATCACAAACAGAACACAAATAATTCCCATTTCCCTGTCATGGGGAATGCTTATAGTCAAAGGAAGGAGCTAAATGCAGTCTATCTGGAACTGCCTCAGGCAGCCTGCCACCACCACCCCCGGCCCCCCAGAGCCTCCAGAGCGGACCCACTCTGGGCAAACAGTTTCCCTCTCATCACTTAATCATGGAGGAAGCCAAGAATAAAGTTGGCAAGTCATAACATGGCCCCCAACTTCTCTGGACCTTCATGTGTGTTCTTGCCTTCCTGCCTGCCTTTCCCCACTTCCTTTCCATTTGAATAAAAAGCCCCCATTTAGGACCTCAATACTGGCCAACATTTTTTAAATACCTACTGTGTGCGGGTTTTGCTATGAGCCTCACATGCATTCAGTCCCTGGTTCTAGGAGATGCTGGGAGTCCACACATGGAATTGGGCCTTCCTGGTGAGTGACTCTGGTGACCAGTGTCTAAAGCTGGGGAGCAATGCAGCCTCCCATTTTGGGGATCCAGGATCCAGAAATTCAGCAGTTGCCCACAAGGAAGGGTAAAGGCCTCAGTGGCACACCCTCCTCAGAGTCACTGTCAACTCAGAATTGCTCTCAGCCAATTCGAGCAACAAGGGGCAGGGTACAGAGTCCTAGGCAGACCACTGAAACTCTTCACTTTAAGTGTGGTAGGGACTTTCTGCTCACATTTAAACCTCACAACATAACTGTTTACCACAAACATGAGTCATATAACTACAAAATGATGTGCTTTCAAATTATGCAGATGACCTTTGTGTACAAACTTCCAAATAATGAAACTTGAAAAAGTAGTGTAAGCCTATATAGTCCCAGCTACTCTAGAGGCTGAGGCAGGAGGATCACTTGAGCCCAAGAATTTGAGGCCAGCCTGCACAACACAAGAATTTCTCACTCAAAAGAAACAAAGTGTGTATGTCAGGGTGTGTGTGTGTATGTGTGTGAGTGTGTGTGTCTGCTTGTGTGTATGTGTGTGTGAGTGAGAGTGTGTGAGTGTGTGTGTGTCTGCTTGTGTGTGTGAGTGTATATGTGTGTATGTGTGTGTGAGTGTATGTGTCTGCTTGTGTGTATGTGTGTGTAAGTGTGTGTGTGAGTGTGGCAGGAGAGGGAACCCAATTCATGAGAGTCAATTTCAGAACAGGTTTGCCAAGTGGATCAGAAACAATTCCTTCATGCCCCAAGTCACAGTGGTGGGTGGCTGGTTAGTGGCATATACTTGTGTGCACAGACTTCCTTCGTGTGATTATGGGAACTATTATGCTGTTATTTTAACATTCGCTGTGATTATAATTTAAAATCTTTTTTATACCCTATAACAATGTCATCCAAGTATTCATTAAGTGGTGGTGGCAGTGCTCATGCTGAAAAATGTACCCAAAAATCAATAACTTTGGTGCGGAAGTTAAATGTGATAAAACACTATGAGGAAGGCCAAGCAAGACCATGGCACCCTGGGCTGTTAATTTAGGAGAGAGCATTCAGCGAGGCACTGACGATAATGCTGAGAAAATAAAAAGTAACATTAAGGCGAAATACACCTCGGTTATGGATTGGTGTGACTACAGAATACACCCCTACAACACACACTTCTAACACTAATTCCCATGGAAAATTAGCCTTAACATATGTTCATTTTGAATTATGCAGTGTCTCCTAAAGCTGGTCCCTGGCATAAAATGCAGCATCGTTATACTGAAAATGCAAATATCGAAGGAGATGCGATGAATGAGCAAAATCATTTCCGTTGAGGTGCAAATAGCTGATATTAAACCCTTTGTTTAGCTCTTAATTCCCTAATTATGAACTTGGAAGGAGGTTTAGAGCAACAAGAAGGAATGAAAACTAACAAAGCCAAGCATGCCACAGCAGACAAATGTCCCCTACCCTGCCAAGGATCTCTGGGATTGCACAGAATGGAAGGGAAATAAAGAGTCAAGGGGCACCTAGGGGATGAGCACAGAGAGCTTCAGCTGCTTTTGACCCTTTAGCACACGTCACCTCCTGTCTGCATTTCTCTCCACTAAGGGCCCTGCTCTTATTTAGTATTCCCTTGTATAAGCATCATGCTAGGTAACCTTGGGAAACGGCAGTGTGGCAAGGCCTCCTCAAGGCCAGAGAAACTCCAAATCTGTAAGCTGCACACCCAGCCTTGGATGCCAGGACCAAAGCTTTCCATCATCCTACGGGAGGCTGCAATAGACAAACTTCTTCTATAAGATGACAAGCCGCCCTGCAAATGTCAGTCCTGCCTCCTTTGTGACATTACTACTAGTCTCTCTCTTCTCTGGAATTATCCATGGCACCAGGAGATTCTGGGCTCTGAACACACAAGGTCAACAGGAGGTCTTTGACAATAAGATCCAGCACAGACCCAGGAGAGGCATGGCTTTGGTGAAGGTCTTGTAGGGTCCAGTTCTAAATTGTGTTGCTATCTCTAAGTCCACCTGTGTTGATACCCTTCTGTGACATCCTGCTAGATTCCAAAGCAACAGCATGGGATTTTAAGGAGTTAGAGCAGTAGTTCTCAACATGTGGGTGGCAACCCTTTGGGGGTTCCCTGAGACCACTGGAAAACACAGATTTTTATGGTTCATCACAGTTGCAAAATTACAGTTATGAAGTAGCAATGAGAATAATGTTATGGTTGAGGGTCACCACAACATGAGGAACTGTATTTAAAGGTTGCAGCATTAGGAAGATTGAGAACCACTAATCCATGGAGAATATGAGCTCATCAAGGGAGAGAGGTTTTGATGGGATATACATAAGACTCTGGTCCCTGGGGGACGAAGGCCAATGTCCTTGGCCCAATAGTAAATGCCAGAGCTAGGAGTGCCCAAAAGAGATGAGGCCGCTGTCCCAAAGCCAAGGCTGGAGCAGCTGGCTCACCACAGGACCCTGAAGAATTGCCTCAGCCTACTCCCCACCATAAAAACAAAAAAACTAATTTCTCCATTATTAATCAGATCCAGGTAACTTGCAGGAAAGAACTAGAAAGAAATGCATGAAATTATTTGTCTGTATGTTTGCTTCCATCAAGTGCAGACCCATCAACAGAGCTACCTTCCTCTGGGGCGGGGGGGGGGGGGTTTGATTAAAATGCTTGTCAAGGACAAAGGACCCTGGTGTTCTGGGAGTTGTGGCTTAAGAGCCCTAGACTGGGTTTGGCCAAATTCTGAATCCAGATGCAGGACATGATACCCTACTGCCAGAGCTGTGAGAGCCAGGCCTGGCCTTCCTGGGCAGCACGTGGGGAACACACTGAGCCTTGTGCAGAGAGGAAGGCCTCTGCTCTGTGAAGCGGTGCCAAGGAGGGCAAGAGCAGCAGCTTCTCAGGCCGCACAGCGGAGGCCAGGTTCCCGAGTGGCTGGAAAACATACAGGGAAGCCTGCACTGAGCTTGGAGTTTCCATTGCAGCATGGGCTGTGGCCTAGGGGTAAGGTAAGGGCCAGCATACTATCTAGTCTCTGTAAATATGGCTCCTCCCATTCTTTGATCTTACTGCAGCTTCAGGGCTTCAGGCACTCAAGGATCAGTTCCTCTGAGCCCACAGCCTGAGGATAGACAGGAGACAACTGAAAACAGACCAGACCCTACAAGTCCTGAGGCTCTTGCTGATGGGGAAGTGTGCACCTCAAATGTCCCCAGTCAACCAAGCTCACCAGCCAAGCTCCAAGCAGAGATGGTGAGTTCACTATCCCATAGGGCCTTAGCAGCAATCAGTAACTACAGCTTTATTAACACTTCACAGAGCCAGCAAGTGCTCAGAACTAACTCTCACTGTGGAGCTCTGGTTACAGTTCTCAGGGGAGGCTGAGTATTGGCAGGGAGGAGGGACCAGGAGAGACAGGCAAGGCCCACAAAGCACTGGAGGAATTTGAGCCGGGGCCTGGCTGCTTACCATTTTGCTTGGCTGTCTCATAGTCTTCCTTGCACACTAGCCGCCCATCCTCCATAAGGTAGAACTCATCCCCGGTGGCCAGCTGCCGGTTGCAGATGATGCAGGCAAAGCAGTGCAGGTGATAGACGAAGTCCTGGGCCTTGCGGACCACCTGGGTTGGGGGGATGCCCTGCTGGCAGGCTGTGCATTTTGTGCCAAAGCGCCTGTCGGGGCAGCAGTAAAAGAAGTAAAAACAAGGGAGTTGTGCTTGGAGTCTCTGCCATTTATCAGCCCTCTCCTACCCCACCATGCTAGTGTCCAAGGAACACCAAAGTTTAGGGTACCTGGGCCTCCTCCTAGCTTCATTGCTCTGTGCCCGGGGTGCTAGTTTAGCAAGTAAAGGGATTGGATCAGAGCTAGAATCATCAGTTCCTGTCCTGTGGCTGACATCCCAGGGATACACAGGGACACTCTCAATGCACAAAGGCAGACAGAGGGCTTCCAAGTGGCCCCCAGAGCCAGGAGTAACCCTTCACCACCTGCTTTATGGTGCTTCCTTAAAGATCAGCTCAGCAGGGAGCCGTATGCTGTGGGCAGCTCAGTCTAGCATAGGGTCTTCAGCAAAGTTTCCCATAGGAGATCGTGTGCTACCTGCTGGGGACAGCACATACCCACATCCACAGTGACACTCAGGAGAAAACACACTGTCAACAGAGTGAGGCTCTCCTGAAGGTTCTCCTGTTCCTTCTTGCCCCCCCCAAACATACACACACACACAAACACACACACACACACACACACACACACACACATACACACACTGAGCACACACACTGAGCACACAGAAAAGCCCAAAGCTCCCCATGCAGCCTGGGATGTCAGGGTCCCAGGAAGGCCCAGGAAGGCACACTGTCAAGCCCTTACTATATTCTCCAGTAAGGAATCTGTGGATGTCACTTTGGAAAAGCCTGCTTTCAACAGCTGTCTACTGTAGCCCTTTCTGGACTGACACCAAGGCAAAGGAAGCCAACCACTGCCATCCTCTACCAGGGCTGGCAAGGGAGGAGAAATGCATTGGAAGGAGCATCCAGCAAGGCCCTTGAAGCCCATCTCCCCATCCCAGACACAGAGTCTCAGAGACACAGAGCCACGGCAGCGGCCACAGAAGCAAGAGAGGAACTCTAGAGTGGAGGCAGCAAAGGGAGTGGCTGGCCACAGGTAATTCTTCCCAGTGTGGAAGGGAAGAAGGAGGGAGGCAGGAGGGGACGGGAAGCTGGGGCAGAGTTTAAAACAGCAATCAACCTAATTATTCATGACACTTCACACAGCAGAACTTCATCTTCTTCAGGGTGAGAGACTTCGCCTAATGGATCTGGGGAAGGTTTGATTTTAATGGTCCTTTTAACTAATGCTTATAGGCAGCCTGATTTCCCCTGAAAAGACAGTACATATTTCATCTACATTAATACCAAATAAATTAATTATGGTCATGGCTATCATGATGAATCCCAGATTAATGCAGAATGATGGGTCTCTTTGCAGCAGTGCTACCTGCTGAGGGGGTTACACCGCCTGCAACAGGCATGGACAACTGTGGCTTCCACAGCATCCCCCCCCACCAGGAACAGAGTGCCCTGGAGAGAAATGGGGGTCTCCACATCACGAGCAGCTTCCCAACAGCCTTAGCATGGTAGGGAGACTGCTTCTCTGAGACCATATGAGAGAAGCATATGATGGGAGATTTGGGACCTTATGAGCCCCGCCCCCTCCCCCAATGGTCAGGATCCTGCCTCGGAGGGACCCAGCTTTTGTCAGATTTTCCAAGGAATGCAGAACCTGGAAGAGCAGTTTCTATTTGCTGAATAACAAAATTAGAGGATGTTCACAGAGGGCTGAAGTTGAGTGTGGAGAACACAGTGCTAATCTGCACCAGCCTCAACTGCCCAGAACATGGGTGATGTCCAGGCTGCCTCTACACGCAGCAGCTCCTTGTTTAAATGGAAAGGCAGGACAGCTCTGTCCAATGTGCGCGTGCGTGTCTCTGTGTGTATGGAAGAGGTACACGGAGGCAGACAGAACAGAAGCCTGTATCAGTGCCACTAGAAACTTCTACACCTTTCCCATACACTCCTGCCAATGAACAATGCCTCCACTGTGCTGGCTACAAACCCTTCCAAGCAGTTCCAGAAGGAATGGGAGAGTGCATCCACACCTGCTGCCCAAGATGCTGCAGAACAGCCCTCTCCAGGGAAGATGTCTCTAGTGCCAATCCCTCCCAGGAGAAGAGGGCTGAGGGGGGACCCTGTAGCAGAGCAAGACTCCATGCAGCCTCTCCCACAAGAAAGCCACTTCTCTTGGCCTCTAAAAAAGCAGATGGGCTTTCAATACCCAGAAGCCCAACTGACTCAAGCAAGAGCCGTGAAAGATAACTCGGGATAAATTTAATCTCATCCCGACAGTGATTCATGCCCGAGGGTGCAAGTGCACAAGGAAAATGAAAAATAAATGGACTTGCCCACTAGCATTTTTTCAGCCATTGAAGCAATTTTCCTGATTGTGGGATTTATACCAGTGGTAAGTGGAAGCTGCCCCTTGCTACCTTTTTCTTCTGAAGTATGGCCAACAGGATCCTTGCCAGGAGCACTTTGTGCACTGCCTTGGTCCTGGAGCTCTCCTGGCCTGTCCTGGCCCCAAGGAGCACCCGGTCACAGCCAATGGTCCCAGAATAAGTGGCTAGGCTATTAGGGTGGGGCAGGTTGTATTGGCGAAGACAATGGTCCTGCCAGTCTCAGCCAGCCATAGTCACAGATGAAGAAGCGTGGCAGGTGACACAGCTGCCATGTGGCCAGCCATAATGCAACACACGACCATGTTTAAAATCCCTGGGCCCCAAACAAACTAAAACTCCATGCGTGGCTGCTACCCAGAGATCCAGTAGTCTGAACAATAGCCTGACTGGGTTTGAAGGATGCTGGGATGATGGAAGGGGTGGACACTAGCTAGGGAACATGGCTTCTAGGGGATTTCCCAGGCAGCGCCTCCCAAGTGTTGTTGTCAAGTATCTGTAGGGTGTAGGCAATGCCCACTCGGCAATGCTGCACCCTGGCCTCACTCTCCAGAAGGCCATTCCTGCCAGTTGTACCCTATTAAGCCTCATCAGACAGCCAGTTTCCCTCAGGCAGCATCTAGAGCTCATCCGCACTGAGCACGGAAGTGGCTTGACATAGGGGTAGAGAGCTTGCCCAGCATCCCCAAGACACGAGGCTCAGACACTGCCACAAAGAGAAATGGATGCAAGGAAGGACTTGCTGGTGGCCCCCTCCTATTTGCCCCTCCTCTTGCCCTCACCCAGCACATAGTAGGGAAGCAACAAGACATGCTGAATGAATGAATGAATGAATGAGGTACCTGAGTGTAGCCAGGGAAGAGCAGTTCCCAAGGGCAGAACCACAGCTCCCATCAAACATTTTTCTAGTGAGGACATGGCGTCCCATGTTGAAATTTACTAAGTAAGATATGAAGCTTTTCATTCACTGTCATTATCATTACATTTGCCTCACAGATGTCTCCAGAGTGTTCAAGCTGAAAAGTGGGTATTGTGGTACCTTGTAGCAGATAGGAAACTGAGGCACAGAGAGGTAGCATGCTGCTCCCCACCCCACCCCTCACACCAACAGTAAACGAGAGAGGGAGGATTTGAACTCAACCCTTCCAGAGCCTGGGATGGCTTGATCTTGCTTGCCAACTTGGTTGGTTGAGAGACACCTGGAAGATTAGTGCATCCCTCTCTGCCTATGTCTGTGAGGGTGTTTCCAGTCAGGACTGACTAAATGGGGAAGACCTGCCCTAGTGTAGGTGGCACCATTATAGGTTGGGGATCCAGGATGGAATAAAAGGAGAAAGTCTGGAATGCAGGTGATCGCTCCGTCTCTCTTCTCCATCTCCCGATGAACACGATGCCAGCTGCTTCTCCAGCCTTCTCCTCCGTGATGAGATACAAAGCCCTGACATGGTGATCCAACGCCTCTGGTATTCATCGCAGCAACAGAAGGCTAACAGAGTACCTCTGACCAAAGCCACGCTCGAATACAGGACCTCATACCCCTCACATGTCCCTAGCAGCTCCTAGGCACCAGAATCCCAGTCCTGTAAGGCAGGGGCTGCTGTGGTAGCCTTCTCCCAGAAGTGTGTTCACCCATCACACAGCTCAGGGACTAAGGAGGGGACAAAGGCATCAGGGCCCTCTCTCTGGGCTACCCCCCATGATTGCAGGAAAGGGCCGGCCTCCCGTCCTTGTACCACCCTCTGCTCTAGCGCCTGGCCTGAGCTCCTGTCTCTACCTGTCCACCCCTCTGATCTTGATGGGCCTGGCTGGGACACTCCCAAGTGCAGGAACGCAGTCAGGGTCTGGACCCTCTGAAGAGACAACAGTGGGCAGCCCTGTGGGCACAGAACTTCTAGAACTAGGGTTACAAAAATCCTACTCTACAGACATCCCACACTGGGACAGTTTTAAATGCTGTCGCGTGACCAGATCCACACAATGGTTCTGTGGTCCCTGAGACATCAGCAAGTGTCCCTATTCACCAAGCTCCTACTATGTGCCCTGCATGGCAGAGCCTGTGCCCACTCGAGACATGATTCCTCACGACCAGGCCCTCACCTCATCATTCTCATCTTCCCATGGCCATCCCAGCACCCCTACCCAGTCTGGTGGCTACAGCTCCTGGCTCAGCATCTGGAGCAGGACCTCCAGTGACTTCACTACACAGCCCTCCTGCTCTCCCCATTTTGGTACTCCATCTCCTGCTGAAGGTCATAGCCTCCCCCCTTCCTCAGCTGCCCATTCTGATAGTCTATCCAAGACCTTGTCCCTAGTCACCACACTGTGGGATGACAGCTCCCTGGCCACTAAGTGGACACAGGGCCTCCTAGCACTGACTGCAGGACACTATGCCTTCGTTGTCCCTGCCTCTGCCTCTCATACTGCAGCTCTGTGGTCTCGGCTTCATCTCTACCCAGCAAAGATCCCACGTCCACCTGAATATCCCTTCCCTCACACCCACTGGCTTCACCTTTCCTCCAACACAGGGGTCCAGACAGAGCTGAGGAAAAATACATCACCTCACTGCTTTTCCTTTAAATAATAATCATACCCCAGAGACCCCAGAAATTAACATAGGCCCAGTTCCTGGTTTTCCAAAGAGTAGCCCTAGACACAGAC